TAAAAAATGATTATCTGTAAAATCATCCTATGCATATGCATGAGTTAGGATATAGGTTCACAATAAATGGTAAAAGCATACTGAGAACAAGTTTTAAAACAAGGGAGCCTCTTTGAACAGCCAAATTAAATTATAGCTGAAGTCTTGAGTGTACTGAGGGTTCTAATAAGCAACAAATAAAGACTTTTATTGGCTAGCAACATAATGAGAGTTACTGTGTGAAAGATGAAAAAAAGACAAATCTGGGTAGTTTATCTCACTGGATTATGTTATTTACTTTAAATGGTAAATAAGTTTGTCCAAAGTAATGCTACAAAAAACTAGTATATAAATATTAAAGAGCAATTATGATCAATGACTCTTTAATGTAAACATAATACAAATTTTAGTGGAAAGACTGCTAAACTACTGTGAAATTAAACAACAAATATTGAATTTAATACCACTTAAGTTCTATTTCTTTAAATTTAACTTACTGATTCATAATATATCAGCTTTATAAATGGTTTACTACTTTATGCTTATAAACGAAGCATTTATTCTAAAGGAGTTTTCTCTCCAGGGTACGGCAGTTGTATGTAGAACTACTTCAAAACCATTATTTACAGAAAGGAGGTTGTCCTTACTGAACTGAAAGAAGGTATTCCCCTCTTCAGTGATTTGGTAGGAAGTTACTTTTTTTAGAACTTTGAAGATGGCCTCCTTACAGAACTCCTTCAGTTGGCAAAACAACAAACATTATTTAGCAAACCAGATCAGATTTAAAGTGTATTTGGTTGCATTTTGCTTGATCTTCAAATCACATAAAAGGTAGAACCCTAGATTTCTTAGCTGACTACTTAACTGTTCTTGTAGAAAGTTCCATTGTTGCTTTTGTCACAGCTTAAAAAAAAAACACAAACAAAAAAAACCCCTATAGCACCTTCAAGCCTAAACATTAAGCGAGTATTCATTATCTACTCCTATCCTACAACATTCTGATTGCCAGTGATTTTTTTTTAACCTTAAGTATATCTAATAAAATCATAAGGCTCCCTCTAGCTCTTCAGAGAGGAGTTTACTAACCAATGATCCCATGTAATTCCCATCCAACAGAAAAGATTTGAGGCTGCTCCCCTTCCACAAGAAATGTTTTCAACTGTTTCTTGCAAGGATGTAGATGGTAAATGAGACCATCTGCAGAGGAATTCAGAAAGCACTGCTCCTTATATCCACATTCACTTAATCTATTAATTGCTTCCAACCTAAGCTTTATATAGAATATTCTAGAGTGAAACTTTAACCTGTTTAAACTACCCATGCACCCCAATTTAGATTTACCAAGCTACTTAAAATTAATTTTCATCTCAAAAAACAAATAAACATATATAGAATACAGAAATTCAAACATGGGATCTGGTCTCAGTTCTAAAAACCTACATTTAAATACAGAATCTTGAAATTTATTTTTTAATTATTAACAGCGTATCTGTGGAGTTTCCCTAAAACAAATGATGCTGATGGTAACTGCAGAAAACATTTACACATACCAAGTATTTACACACACAACACCGGTAATGATCTTAATTGTTTAATCTTTTCTGCATTTCAGTATTGGATATTTTAGGATTGCAGTTATTTAGAAGACTATAAATAATATAGTCGAAGTACACCATTGATATTTAGTCTTAATACAGCCATAAAAAGCCCCATAGTCAAAGGGCAAATCATTTCAAAGAAATGAATACGAAAAAAGCTAAATTGCAAAAAAAAAAAAAAAAAAAATGCTAAATTGAACTCCTCACACGCACAAGAGCCATCTTTCACATACTTAATATTTACAATGGTACTGAACCTTAACTATAAAATGAAAAATACAGGGAACCACTAACTTCAAGTCATCACCTATTCTGGTCTCCCTTAATATAAGAAATATTCCCAGGAACAACAAAAAGAATAGCTCCCTCCACCCCCAACCCCCGCCCCTTTTTGAGCCAGTGTCCAATTTCTTCTTTTCTGAACAGCTGTATTATCCAACTTAAGTTGCTCTGCTAATTTCAGTCCCACAAGGACTAACTTGGAAGGCAAAAAAATACAAGAGAAGATCAATTTGCTGGGAAAGATCAAATGAGAAAACTGTGGGGACAGCACCAGGTCAGCGTGTGGAGAACTAAGCAGACCTGTTCTTCATTAACTGTGGCTCTCTGGGGATGTCACACACTACCTGTCCGTGGGTTTTATTGAACCGCCTAACCCGCCTCTCTGTTCCATTCTTCTGGGCCCAAGTGAATCATATCCTGCTGCTGACAAGTTAGCAGGGGACTGCGGCTGCAACATGAAAGTACTTTTCTTTCTTGTCTAAATCAGGCAGATTTTTGAAAAGACGACACAGCATTGACTCGTGACATGGCAAGATGAAACGAGAGGTCTGGGCCGGTCTTGGAGCTGTGCAGATAAAAGTAATCAAATGACACTCCTGGAATGCAAATTGGCATTCTTGACTGCAGCAATTGCACAACCATGAAACATCCCTGACAGCAAGCAAGATTAGGACAAAATGTTATGTAAAGCACTGAACTCAAAAACTCTCACTTGAAAATTCAAACTGTAACACTTACATTTTAATATAGCAATAGTCAGCTCTGCTTTTGTCTGCTTCTTTTTGTAATCACATATCCCTGCCTGACAGATCTCTTACATTTCAGGTAGAAGAAAAAAAAAATTAGGCATTGGGAAATGTATAACTGCTCTTAACATTTTCCTAATATTTATTTTTAAATATCACAGGAGGTTGGTTGGTTCTTGTTCAAAGTTTTACATGCAAACACCACCGAACTTAATATTCTCAAGGGGGAAGAAAAGACAGTTTCAGACGTTTCTCACAAGATACTCAAACAGAGTTCACATTCAGGTTCAGTATTATTTCCCTCAGGTGAAGATACTCTTGTACTTTGGTAGAGTGATTAGCAATCTGGATTTTAAATACTCTGCTCTCCCGGAACAGAAAGAGTAGCTACAACTAAGAACTTCATTAAGGCTGAGGAGTTTAAATGAAACAGCTACAAATATAACATAAAACACAGATACTCTATAAAGGTTCACAAGGGATTTTGTGTGTGTGTAAGTCCAAAGGGTAAAAAGGAAGTTCTATTAACTTGTATGAGGTCTCACTACTCCTGACTACGTCTTCAAATCAGACACACTAAATAACAGTGCCAGAAATAAATTCCTCCAGTTAAAACATGTATGTGTGTGCACAGTTAACGTCTGAAACTGCAGAATACAAAGCAGTGGATAACAAATGGGGTTAGCCACTTTTCAAAATGATTAGTATCTGGGAATAGATGTGTAGACAAATAGAATGTAGGCTGGGGGAAAGGGAAGAAAAAATACCTACAACCGGCTTTACAGTGTTCTTAGGTAAGATGTCGCTAGAAGAAAAAACTCAAGCACTAAACATATCTTTAATATTTTGCTTTGACGCCTCCACTTAAAAAACAGGTTCCAACCACTGCAACTGTCCACGAAGTACATAAAAAATAGTAAGGCAGGCCACTTTCTGCCACTTTAATCCTGGGTACACAGGATTATTTTATGTTATCTTTCGTACATCAGCTTTACAACAGCTTGACTCTAGGGTAAATGGGAACCACTATAAATCGCACGCTGCTTTCAAAACCACTTTAATTTCTGTCAGCGTTACTGTAACCACAGTCTTGGGCGCATGCTACTTGTGTGTGTGTGTGTGTGTGTGTGTGTGTGTGTGTGTGTGTGTGAGCGCGCGCGTGCCTACATCTGACAGTCGCATCTCCTACACTCCAGTTGTGACTTTGATCACTGAAACAAGAGATGTCACATTAGGGGGAAGGGAAGAGGAAAAAAACGCCAACCCGCTATCTCCCTTTTTCCTACATAGTCCATCTACATGCAGAACGGTAGATCAGATCCCCAAGTGGGGGTAACAATAGCAGCTCTGGGTGGAAGCAAACTAAAGGGAAGGGAGTGGTCCAACCCCATTTCTAACAAATCACTTCCCCGAAAGCGGACAGAGCGCTCATCACCAGGAGAACTCACTGCACGCTGCCTCGCTGCGGAGAAGCCGCTCCGAGGAGAGGAGCTGGGCTCGAATCTCGCCTTCCCATCTCCTCCACCACTTGCCCTTGCACCTTTTCTTATTTAGCCTCACTACATATGGGATTTCATTCACTTTTCTTTTTTCCTTTTTTTTTTTTTTTAATTCTGTCCCCTCCCCGGGCCACAAATGCCACCCTGCAGTCAAAGTGTAAGTAGAACAAATGGGCTCCTTTAAAATTGCACCTCAAAAAATCTCCGTCTCTCTCGGGTTTACTTTCCTACCCTACGTTTTGCACATTCTTCATAAAGCCTCCAGGAGCACTTCCTACGTTTTCATTTACAAAGGGAGGGTTGCCGAACGCGAAGGAGAGGGGAGGGGAAACGCCAAGGTGCCGGGACCCGGCGGCTGTGTCCCCGCCGCGCGGCGCACCAGCGCGCCCAGGCGCCCACGCCCAGCCGCCCGGCCCTCACTCGCGGGCAAGTTTTAAAAGTTACCGTTGTCCAAAACGCTTTGCTCTCCGCCCCGAGTTCCCTCCAGCGCTCCATTCATCCCCCGCCTCCCCTCCACCCCATCCACCCCAGCCCGTCCCAACTCCCTGGAGCCTCTCGCTCGCCGGCCGCGCTCACCTTTCCTCGCCCGCCGCGAGAGGGGGCGAACTTCCCGAGCCCCTCACACACACACACAGACACACACACACACACCCCTCCCACCCCGAGCTCTCCTCGCAAACTTGGGCCAAGTTGGGGGGAAATTTCGGGAGCACGGCAGGGGCCAGGTTGGGCTGGGGTTCTCCTCTCCTGCCCGCCCTCCTCAGCGCCCCCCTCCACCTCACGCCGCCGGACTTGAGAAAAACACAGCCCCCGGGCGGCCCCAGGGGCGCGCGGGCACGGGGCTCACGTCTGACGAAGTCTAGAATAAAAAGGAAAGGAGGGTGGAAACTTCTTACCATCTCGGCATGCTGGTTGTCAAGTGCAGCCCCCGCCTCTTGGTCTCCTCTTAGCGGCCGCGCCTGGACCAGCCCCTCGGCCGCCTCTCGCTCCTTCTGTCTCGGCCTTTCTTTCCCTCCCCCTCCCGATTTCCTCCGGGCCGCCGCTCTCGCCGCCTCCGCCTCTCCCCGCCCGCCCGCCCGCGCGCGCCCTCGCCGCGGCCCCTCTGCGCTCAGGTGACTGATTTACACACGCGCCCAGGGTCGCCCTCGCTCTCCAAGTCGGAGCCTGCAGAGTTCCCCCGGCTCCTCGGGACCAAAAAAAAAAAAAAAGAGAGAGAGAGAGAGAGAGAAAGAAAAAAGAAAAAGGAACAGACTGTCCCGGGTGGGGGCAGCTGCGGGGGGCGGGGGAGAGACCCTCGGGCGAGGTGACCTGAGGCGGATTTGCAAGCCCCACAAGTTTCTCCTCTCTGCAAAACTGTCGTGACTACAATGTTGCTTCCCTTTTGCAAAATAGAAGTGGGTTAGTTTTGTTGTTGTTTGTCCTCAGATTTCTAGGGGTTTCGTGAGGGAGGATGTATATTTCTCGCCCCCCCCCCGCCCTGTTACTGCTACCCCCCGCTCCTGGTGCGGATGGAAAAACAACTTTGGCGCCCTCCGGGGGGTGCGGGCGGGGAGGTGGAGGTGGCCGCCAGCGCCCAGCTGTCAAAGAGAGAATCGCCGAGGAAAGGGCGCGAACTTTATTCCGACTGCGGCAAACCGTGGCGTCGCTTTCCTTTTCGGGCACTCGCCGGTCTCTGTCCCCTTTGACCAGTTCCTCCTCTCGCACCGCCGCCGCCGCCCCCGCCTCCTTTCCCCTTCCCCTTTTTCTCTTTCCGCCGCGGCTGCCCCGGCGCCCCTCGCCCCCGCCAGCCCGGGTCCTCCGCGCGCCGCTGGACAGAAGGTGAGGGAAGCGGAGGAAAACCCAGGGGACAGAAACTCGGGACAGAACGTGCTGGGCGAAAAGGCAAAAAGTTGCGCGCAGCCAGGGGGGAAAAGTTGCTGGTGGCGGCGTGTTTTGTGCCGGCCCAGACGCCGGCTTGCGGCGAGGGCTTCCTTCCCCTTCCCCTAGTCTGGGCCGCGGGCCTCGGGCTGGAGACGGCCCGGGGAGAGGAAGGGGACCGCCGCCTCCGCAGGGGAAGACGGGCCACATCTGTGGGTGACACTCAGCCGACCCGCGGAGTCGCGAAAACGCACACGCCTGCAGCTGAAGGACATTTCTTAAATGCAGGCAAAATACACTCCCGGGCCGCAAGGATGGGGGGGGGATGGGGGCGAGTTTAATCATCATCAGCTTTCTAACGTACACTTTGTGCCAAAAACATCTCCGCGTTGTGCAGATTTATCATAGCTAGAGCAAACTTTTCTGCTTTTCCGACATGGGAGGAAGGCACAGGTTTCAAGCATACTCTCTGAGCCCTAGAAATCGGAATCGTCCAGGACTTGCTTGGCACAACAACAGGTTTGAATCATCCCTCCTTCCTTTCTTCCTTCCCCGAAGTAGAGGGGCAGAGAAACTGCCTCGTTGCATCCAGAGGTCAGCATTAAATTCCTCTGAAAATATGTCGCCTTGGAATTAACATAGTTTTATTTTCTTTGATACAGTCTGCGTTTAAGTTTAATATAAAATTTCACGATAATTAAAAAGAATATTTGGGGAGCCATGATGAGAGACTGGCCCAAGTAGCCACAGCTGTTCTGAAAATGTGATTAAGCTTACTATTCACGTGGATCCCGCTTTTTAACAGCGGGGCCACCGCACCTGCAGTTCTGTGTGCTGATTGGGTCCAAATTCCTGACCGTTTTTAGGCCCTTAGAAAGCAGATTTCAACTCATTTTTGTATTTGTATGACTCTCGGCATCATCTCGGTGTGGAAAGGTTTGTCTGGTAAATGCTTCTACCATATTATTTATAGTAAATACCTTGTAGAATTCTAGGCACATGGTTCATCTGGAGTTTTCTAGTGGGAGACAGATTACTTCTCTAGAGCATAAATCAAAGTAAAGACTATCTAATGACTACCCATATATATAAATGCGTGTTATCTAAGAAGGCTCATCTTTAAATGATTTGATTAAGGTGTGGAGCATGTTCCCTTATTCTGTAAACATCACTGTAACATCATCCTATAGTTTGTAGAAACTGATTACACAAGGATAATGACGACCAAATGTGCATTCTGAGCAACTGAGGATCATCACAAGAATTCTCCAGAAATGAGCCAAGTTCCAGTGTGTTTTCTTGTATTATGGAGAGATGAGAAAAGCTAGTTGCTAATTTCAGAGTCATTACCCATACAAATCCATTCACACACTTACCGCTTTGGACAACTGACAGACCAGCAATTGCCAACAATTGTATTCACACAGTGCATTTTTGGCTGTGCACCTATGCTGGCCAACAGCAGAAGTTATTCCACAACAAGTAACCTGTAATTTACATTCCCCTGATTGGTTCCAGATCTGTCTGTTTTTGATGTTAGCATACAAACAATTTATGTGAAGCAAAATGTCTATTTGGGGTCCAGGGCCTTTCTAGAGAGTCCTCATTATAAAAAGGGGTAATGTGTTGGGCTGAAGAGCAGCCCTTGGAGAAGGTGGAAGAATTGACAGAAGCAAATATATAGAGCATTCCACAGCCTCTTATGTCCTCCAGTGGGTTTGTATGGCAATTGGAATAAAACCTTAAGTCTTTTCTGTGTCCTGCAAGACTTTAATGATCTATACCTGTTGGAGTTTTCACTCTTTTCTCCTATTACATTGCTCTCATGAATACGCTAAAGTCACACTGGCTTTCTTTCTGTGCGCCTTGCCAAGCTCCTTCCTGCTCTTTGCCCTGCTGTTCTTTCTACGTGGAATATTCTTCCACATTTTCCAGTGCTTTCGTCTTATCCATCACGTTTCAGCTCTAACTTCACTTCTTTAGATCCTAATTAAACCAGCTCTTTACCCACATCCTGAAACACCCCTCACATTTTGTCCCATTACTTACTTTTCTTTATATGCCTTAGAAGTATCTGAAATTACCTTTTTAAATGCTTATTAGTTTTCTGCAACTAAAGTGTAAGCTCCATGGGGGCAAGAGCTGTATCTACCTTGTTCACTTACGTAGTGTCGGTCCATAAAACAGTGCCAAGCACAAAATAAACTCTTAGAAATATTGTTTGAATTAAAGAAGAAATGTCAAAATCATCACACTATATTAATCATGACCTTAGGGCCAGACAAGTTCACTCTTGTGAGTGCTATATCTGTTCTTTTGGGGGTGGAGTAAAAACTTGACTTCCTGTACCAGTGATCCTCAGAGTGTGGTCTGGGGCATCCCTGTATATCCCTAAGACCCTTTTAGGAGGGCCATGGGGTCGGAACTATTCTTATTATATACTGAGAAAGCAAACAATGCAGAAGCCAAAATGAAAAATCTACCCATCTTTTTATAATCAGACTTTAGAGAGACTTGTCAAAAAATGTAAATCAGTGCCACTCTTCTCATTTTTTGTTGTTGTTCTGGAAAAGTTATTTTTTCATTTTGTAATATGGGTATGTATTCATTTCCTATTGCTACCATAACAAATTACCACAAATTCAGTGGCTTAAAACAACAGAAATTTATAATTCTAGAGGTCAGAAGTCTGAAATGAGTTTCACTAAGCTAAAGTCAAGGTGTCTACAGGCCTGCTTTCCTTTCTGGAGACCCAAGGGGAGAATCCATTCCCTTACCTTGTCCAGCTTCTAGAGACCACCCACATTCCTTGGCTCAGGGTACTATACCCTTACATCTCTAAAGCCTATGATAGATAGACGTGTCTTATCTGTATCACTCTGACATTGCCTCCTTCTTTCACTTATACCTACCCCTTGTGATTATATTAGGCCCATCTAATAATCCAGCATAGTCTGCCTACCTCAAGATCTAGCTCCACATCAACTTAATCACATCTGAACATATTCACAGGTAGCCAGGATTAAGATGTGGACCTCATTCTGCCTACCACAGTACTGTAGCAAATGATTGGCCTATTATTATTTTAAATGAATTAATAACTAAAAATCTTCAGAGTTTAAATTTATGATACAATAAATACCAATAGCTATTGCCCACATAAACCAAAACTCTTTGCAGTCTTCAGTAATTTCTAAGAGGTCATAAGACCAGTTTGAGAATCACTGGCCTGTGCAATAGCTATTTTCCCTTCTTCCATGTCTCAAGTTAAACTAGATTGCACTAAACTGATTATGCTAGCCCTGTTTCCTTTGTTGTGATTGGTTTAAGGATGGGCATGTTCCTTAGTTCTGGCTGATGAAGGATGAGGGGAAATCATTGAGGGGCTTGAAGATAAGATCATTTTATTCATTAAAACAAACAAAGACTGGCAAGAAGTAAATTGTCCCTGTTCTGCTCTGAATGTTAGGATGGGAGAATGTGGCACCTGAAACAGCTGCACCCACCTTGTGACCAGGAGGGAGTCCACACACCTGGGATGACAAGGTAGGAAGGTGGAAAGCACATGAGCTCTTGATTTTGTTTTTGACTTGCGGAATTAACCAACCCCAGGTGGCTTGAGACTCCTTATTATGTGATGTAATTCATCCCTTTATCATTTAGGCCACTTTAAGGTTACTTTTCTGTTACTTGCAGCTTACAGCTTCCTAAATGTTATGGAGAAATAACAGGTCTGTGTCATGTTTTCTTGCAGGAATTCCTTCCTATTATTTTCTATCAAATTTATATTTTTTTTCCAAATTCTGAGAAAGATCTGTACAGAAATCAGTAAAATGGGGAAAGCATTATAACACTCCTTTAAGAATGAGAACTTAATCATTTTAGAGACATTACTAGTTCAAATGAATACAAAAGCAGGAAATGCTGACACACATAGTTGTAAGTTACTGGTGACCCTTCCAAGAAAGGGTTACCATCTAACCAGTTAGTTTTGTTTGTAGTTGTGGCTGCATTATAATTGTGTGTTCACGACCCTGTCTGCTGCTAATGATGAGTCATTCTTGTGAGTTA